CATCAGCCAGCACAGCACCTGTTGTTGGTTCTGCTACTCCAGAATCAACAACCATCCAGTATTCTTTGAACCTCAAGAAGTTTTTCCATGAGCATGCTCCAATGGTCATAGTGACCATCAAAGCGTGGAATTGTAGGCTGTACAAAATTCTCAAGAGCCATAAAAGAAATTTATCGCATAAGTGAAAAAGAAGTAAGTAGCTGCTTTTAAAACACTCACTCACATGTTTACACTCTTGTGTTTTCAACCCTGCTCTGATGCCAACGATAATAAATGGACACTCGACAAAGAAATACTACTGCAAGCAAAGAAAGCTATTGCGTTCTTTAAATGTGCTAAAACGGGAACAAAAGCAAAAGAATGAGAAAACTAAATGCATTAAAATTATTAACAGAGCGGGCTATTTATAGCCATAGGGCACAACTAAATTTACAAAAAAATCTGCTAATCCTAAAGACTAAGTAGAAAATAGCCAACTCCCTAATAACTAGGTAAAACCTTTATTCATGCAAATGACTAACAATAAATTTCTAACACAAATATCCTTAAAGAACTTGTCAATATGCACTATTATGTACGATTAAACATTTCAATAAGAATGATGTTCCTATTTATAAATTATTTACAAATTACAGTTTGTGAAAATTGCTATTATTTTTATTTATAAACCATTCATAAATTTGTCAAAAGAGGCTAAAGCTATCAAACCCAAGGGTGTACATTTTCTACTTAATGCTTATTTTATAGTTTTAGTATTTAAAAATTATTGATAATAATTGATTCAAATACGAATGTTTAGGACTCGAAAAATGAGACATTCAGAGAAAATACCCACAAAAGAAACAATATAAAGACACGAATATTTCGGGTAGAACGTGATCCTTTGTGGACTATCCTAATTATTTCGTATACATTCTTGACCAGAATTTATAAATGTTTAATTTCTCGGAGAGCTGAAAAAAGGTCACATCACACTTAGTGCACGTGCAGTTGAGATGTGTTTGTGGGTCTGTTTGGGGCCACTCTTTATTAAAAAAAAAAGAAAAAAAAATAATCTCCTTTTTTATACAAATTTGCAATGATTTATAAATATGGTCTACCTCAAACATTAGTTTCAATTATAATTTATAATTATTATTTATTATTTTCCGGCATAGATCAAAGAGATTAAAGCATCATAAATAGTTGACGAGAAGATTTATATTTAACAAATTTACTTGTTTGAAGATTAGCTCCTGTTTGGTGGAGATTAAAATTAATTTTATTTTTTTGTGTAAATTTTGATAAAATATATGGTTGAAAAGTTGCAAGTCTCATGAAATGTGTGGTTAATATTAAAATATTGACTTTGATTTATATTAAAAACTTGATTTCAATTTCTACCAAACACGGGCAAAATTATAACCGAAATTTTTTTTTCGCGGATATAGTGAAAACTGGATTCACATAATCGTAAACAGATTTCCCTTCCATAATGAAAAGTTATGTGGGTGGTTCAATAGCAAGGAATTCTTCCATAATGGAAAGTTATGGGCGGTTAGATAGCACGGAATTGACTTGATGTTAGAGTAAAAAAAAAAAAAACAACGATACTCTTCAATGGAAAAATCATAATAATTGCTCTCACGGCCCGCACAGAAACAGTGCTTTACCCCTAGATGTCCAGTGAACTGCTACCTCATGGAGAGTTAGCCACACCCACGAATGATATAAATACTGCCGTTGCTTTGATTTTACTCACGTCGAGCAACGGTGTAGGATCAGATCCCAAAGATAATAAGTCTTTTTTCCTTAAGTCCAGGAGCACTACCAAAGTGTTTCAAATGTGGGGTTATCTTGACGTAGGTCTGCCTCTGGCCTAGAAATCTCATTCGTTAGATATGGTAAATTAAAGGAGGATACCAAATGATTGTTGAGCCGAATCCCTCCTCGCCCACAACCGACCCAAAACAAAAGGGAAGTACCTTTCCCTCTGGGTATTGCTTCACGAGAAAGTCCCATCGAAGTTCATTATGAATCTTTAGGTACTTATTATGTGGATTTCTATATCAAGCTTTTGTAAATGTGTTTCCAAGTATAATAAATCTTTAAAACTAGGAATTCCATTCAAATAAAAATCAACGGAAATGAATGTTATCTTCAACAAGTGGTCCGGTATTCAATGCAAGTCGTTGTTGTTTTATTGAATTTGCTTCACTAATAGGATCAAATAGGAAAGGATACTCTGAATCTCCGCAATATTTTTTTTTTATCTAAAGGGGGTTTAACTCTATTAACTAGTAATTAATTAGCCCCTAAAAAGAAAAAAATAATAATAAAATAAAATAAAACAAAAATAAATAAAAAACCGATACTCTTCAATGAAAAAATCATAATAATTGCTCCTCTTTAATTTAGTGCGATGGTGTGGAGACAAGAGTCAACATTTCATACTACTGTAAGCAAGATTTGTCTTCTTTCAAACTGATGCTACTGACTATAATACTCATAATTAGCAAAAAGGGTCAAGGAACAAAACCATTTGATAATTATATATAGCTGTAAATTTACCACAAAAGCAGGCCACTTTCTTTTTACCTATTTATTCAGTGCAACACACTCTCAATTATAGCTCCCCAATTAGTACTCTTCCCAGATTTCCCAAATCCAGAACAAAAAGACCCTAAAAACCAAACCCTCCACCAATATATACACACTATCAACCTGAGGCTTCCAGCAAGAAGCTGCTGCTGCAGGTGATATTAACTCATGGCTGGTAATGAAGAGAACGGCGCCTGGGTGGCGGAGGCGGCGGCGACGACAGAGGCTTCAGGGAAATCTTTCGGTAAGAAATGCAGTCATGTGGCGAAGAAGCAGCGGGCCAAGTTCTACATTCTCCGCCGTTGCATAGCTATGCTTGTGTGTTGGCATGAGCGGAACGACACTTGAGGGACAGGGCGAAGACGGTGTATTTATTGATTTTCGAAGAGTATTTTGTTGTTACATATATATATGTTTCATGGATATTGTAGTAAATCATTAATTGTTAGGTGAAAGTTCTTGTGGTAAATTAATTTTAAAATTATATTTATTGCATGAACTTCTACAATCGATTTGGGGTTTTCGGTCTCGAAATTTTTTCATGACTTCACTTCTGAGTTAGGGTAAGTTCTGAAATTTTGTAGCATGCATAGCTTACTTTTTCGGTTGCATCGGGTATTCTCTTGCAAGATCGGTCGACTCTCGATTTGAAAACATTTTCTCGAGGCTCGTCTGAAAGATTCATACATTAGTTCATGTACAAACTTCAAACATGACTTTTTTCTTCTTTTTTTTTTTTTTTTTTTTTTTTTGCGTTTTTTTTTTTTGCACAAAAAATTTTTTTTTTTTTTTTTTTTTTTTTTTTTTTTTTTTTACGAGTATTTTGGTATGGCACATAAAATTTTATTTATTTCGGCATGTTGACGTGTAAAGAACTTTTTCATAAAGAACACACGAATGATGATATGTACTTTTACTTTGAATTGTATGATTTGATTTTTGTGGTTAATCAAAACTCTATCTAGGAAAATAAAGCATAAATTAAAATCGTCACTTTATTAATGTTGATAAATCATTTAAATTGAACATTAAAGTTTGAATCCAAAACAAGAAGTATTTTTTTTTTTTTTTTTTGGAGTATAATTTAATCTTTGAAGAATGCAATTTAGGCTTTAATTTATATACTCTTAATTTCTATTTGTGCAATAAGTTCGTTCTTTGTTTCTTTTACGGGTAAGATTATGAAATTAATCCTGTATTTTCAACTCCCCACGTCGATATCCATGGATAACATTCTCATCCGTCTAGCTAGCAGCCGTCTTCAGATCAACTATGTATTTGAATTAATAAAAAAAGATAATTAAGATAGAAAGATTTGAATTTGAAAAAGATTTTCCTTGGAACAAGAAATTTTTTAGTACTTTGAAAGTATAAAATTCAGTGCTCCCTTCCACTATTAATTAACGTGTATATTAATTACAATATGCCAATTAGGCCTACTTTTGAGCTCCATTTCTCTCAAAATTTATTTTCAATCACACATTTTTTCATAAAATTATTTTACACGAACACTACTTTTCTCCAATTTTTATAGTTAAGATCCGCTGTCTAATTTTGTTGTCCATTCAACTAATTTTTAACGCATCATCAATTTAGTAGGTTAGTGGTGAAGTTAATAAAAAGGCAAATTCATCGTTTTTCGCTCGTCTTTCATGCGTGCCTGTATGAATTGCATAAATCATTGTGTTTTGGAGGTGGAAAAGTACAGAAGTTAACAGTGTGTTAATGTGGGTTAGTGATGAATTTAATGAGTATAAATTTGAGATAATATGTTAATTATTAATGAATTGTCAAAAATTAATTAGATGGATAATGAAATTGAACAATAGATCTCGACTCCATTTTTTAACCATGCAATTTTTTAAAAATTACCATTTTAAAACCTATATTCTCCAAAAATATGAGGTTCAAAGTGGACTTAAATATTAATACGGATTGCTAGGAAGTTTTTTCTTTCTGAACAATAATTTTCTTGATCCCCAAAACAACACAAAAAACTGTAGATGTCTTATCATTTCAGACAATGTAGTCAATATTAGGTTATGCTGCCAGAACATTAAACAGGGCCAAGAGTCATTCTTGAACTATTATTGTGGACAACTCAATAATTTTAAGCTCTTTTAATAGTAAATTTGCAACGTTAATTCCCACCATTCTCGCCCAGTGTTTCTTTGTATGCAACAGAATACATAAGATTTATACTTATTCATCAATTTTTAGTTAAACAAAAAATTAATCTACTATTAGGATCATGGTTCTGCAAGCAAGAATTTTAATTCAAAACGTGATCATCAGTTCGAATTGCAAACTTCAACTTGTACGTTTGAAGCATAAATCACAATAATCATTGGTTAAATTGAAACTTCAATCTTGTAGTTCATTGATTGTACTTCAATACGGTAAGACTTCATGTATCAATACCCTCCCACTCCGTTCCCCTTGTCTTCTCAGCTCTATCCATTCTATTTGTTTAAATTATAAAATCATTAAGATCAGAATCAAATTTTAATTTTAATTACACGTCTCACAAATACTTGAGAATGACAGACCAATTCCCAAACCATTCATGTACACATAGTAATGTTTATAATTGTCGGAGAAGATACCATATATCACAAAATATTTCGTCTCTGACTAGCTCCGTGTTGCCGTTGCTTCATTGAAGGATCGAAAAAGGTCAAGGAAAATATGTTTCCACGATGAACTCACTCCTAACTTTTATTTTCAATATTTGACTCAATTTTCAATTTTTTCAATGAGTTTCGAAAACACTAACTTGCAATAAAGTAGAAACGTAAGATAAGGTATAGTCTTCCGACAAGGAGAATCCTTTGAGGGCGTGCGCGTACGTAGTACAAATACTTAGCTACTTTACAGTTACTTTTTCTGTGCTCCTCACACGTGCGGTCTCTGTATTTAATTTTTGGTACTATTTGGGCCCAAATGAATTTGACTTGGTAGCCTCTTCCCTTGGCCAATTGAAAATTCTGGTGATCTCCTAACCTGACTTCCATATGAACACTGCTACTTTCTGCATTTTATACTATTGTTGGTAGAATTTTAGGGTACCGTTGGCTTTTTCACCTTGTCAGTTTGCCCAATCTCATAGTTGCAGTGAAATATTGGTAAAAATATAAGGGTAAATTCTATCGTGGGTCCGTAATCTTTCGTAGATATGACATTACGTGCTCAATCTATCATTTGTTGCACCCACGTTCTAATCTTTTAAAAGTATTACACCACATCTCCATCTGATTTATTTGAACTTAACACTCATGTAGTTGTCGGACTGAAAGAGTAAAATTGTTCAGAAAAATATTCCGAAATAAATAAACCGGTTGCTTTAACTTTCATTTAAGAATTAGAATACCGTAGAACTATTCACTTAGTTCAAACTATCATCGACATTGAGAGTGTCTTATGACCCTTAAATTGAGCATGGCATGGTTATTTGAAGTGGGATAAATATTTTGAGCTAATTATATGTATTAAAAAATAGAAAACCATTTTATCGTTCATATCCCATACATTACTAATAATATATTCTGTCGAGTGAAGAATATAACCAAAAAATAAGCTGGAAAGGTTACATAAAAGTGAGAATTAAATCTAAAAAATGAATTATTAAATTTATTTCTAGTGGTCAATTTTGGATCGTTATATTGAACTAGCATTTAATGATTTTTCAATTGGAAAAATGTGTTGCGAAATTAGTCATGAGTACTTTAACATTTTACTAAGAAGCACAAGTGATGAACATAGTCTGAAAAAGAAGTCGAATGTAACTTCAAAATGAGAATATTAAAAGATAAAAAATGGATTATTAAACACTTGTTTGAGTCTCATTCTTTTGATGAGAATGAATTTTTGAATAGTGTATTGACAGAATATGTGTGGTAAAAAATAAGAAATTTTTTTGAAAGTACGTATTATATTATTTTACTGAAAAATATGTAGTTAAAATGATATCAAAATATTGTTAAAATGAATTTTTTTCAAATAATGGAAATCAAATAGGAGCTAAATATAATTTTAACAACCACCCTTGACTCGTTAGTTTGAATTTGCTCTTTATTAGTTTTTCAATTCGAAAGATGATTAAGAAATAGTCAACCTCTTGAGGAAAATTCAGTCTTCACTAACCGAACTTCATAATCCATCTAGAAACACCACCAAAAAAAAAAATAATAATAATAATAATAAATAAATAAATAAAATTACAAAACATGATTTTCATATTTCTATTTGATAGAGATTCTTTAAAACTCAATTTCAACTATATAATTATTTAATAAAATAATTTTATACTTGAACTCGTTATTTTTCTTACTTGTAAAAAGATAAGTCATACTTAAAAAAAATATGTATTATTTTCCTCAAAAATTTCTTCTAAACCTTCGTTTGTTTTTCATTTTTGGAAGAATGAGAATGAAAAATATAGTCGTTACGGGCCCTACACAAGAGATATAAATTCAAATTTGATAATTTGATATGATAAATAACGATCATATTTTTTATTTTAATGCGGAAATAATGACAACCAAACAAGGGTAAATAAAAAATTTATATTAAACATGCTTTTTATAAATAATTAAACATTGTACGGGATATAGGGCGGCCAGCTAAGAAGAAATTATTCATTTGGCAAATGGAAGCAGTGGGGGATGTGAAAACGTGCATTTCTGACAGTTCAATTATAGGTGTCTTATCCAATGGAGAAAAAATAATAACTACAAGAGAAGAGAGGTGGTGGTGGTTATTGCCAGCTTTTTTCAGTCGAAAATGGACTTGCAAATTAAAGGACGGAAGAAGAAGGACCCTCTCCTCGCCCCTTTTTCTCTTTTTAGCTCATCTATTGACTATTTATATATCTTCCCATGTTTCTTGTCGCAGTTTTAACCATATTTAAGGTTGGTTTGACATTATCTTTGGTTTTTTGCTTACATTTTGCAGAACGTGTTTTAGAAAAAGCTATCTTAGCCCGTGTTTGATGATCGTTATTGAGACAAAATGATGTTTATAATTGTGATTTTTAAAGAATGCGTAATCCAAAAAATATAGAAAAATTTTGAATTTATATGTAAAATATTTTATTGTGTGAATCAGTATGAAAATTAAAAAGTTTTGTTTTAAATGAAGACGAACGAGGATTTAATTTTCGTTTGAAAACTAGTTTTTAAAAGAGTTTTCTAATGAAGTGTTTTTAAATAAAGTTATATTGAATAAACTTTTTCTACAAAAATCTTCCAATTAAAAGAAATACTTTCATAAAATTAATCAAACGGATTCAAATGCAACTTTAGGTCTCAGAAGATCTTTTGACATTTCAAAAATCATATCGAATGAGCCTGTAAATATTTATCTGAATTTTAAGAATGCAGCTAGCATACACAGTTTGTATAAAAAAAAATATTCTTACACTAAAAAAAATTAAAAATGATTTGAGAGTGAACTAATGTTAAATATCCTTTTTATAATTGAATACTGAATACTGAAGACATAAAAATAAATTACAATATCTATATAACAGTTCTACGTCATTTTGTTATTTTCTTGTGTCGTGCTGTGTCACAATTCGTTTTTCATTTATGTGCAGTTGTAGACGCATTTTTATTTATTGTGCCAAATAAACTTGTCACGTAGTAAAATTTGGAACCAATAAATTGACCACGTCTACTTTTGTGAATTATGTCATTAACCTATGAACGATGAAGTCCATTACCGCTCACTGAATTCAGGGTTATTTTATGCAAACATGTTTGATTGTGCTTGTGGCTTCTTTCTTTCAGAAAGT